CCCTATAGGAACCCTATAGAACCTTATAGAAACCCTATAGAACCCTATAGGAACCTACAGGACACCCCCAGACCCTATAAAAACCCATCGAACACCCCCAGACCCTATAGAACCCTATAGGAACCTATAGGAACCTACAGGACACCCCCAGACCCTATAGAAACCCATCGAACACCCCCAGACCCTATACGACCCCATAGAACCCTATAGGAACCCTATAGAACCTTATAGGAACCTACAGGAACCCCATAGAAACCCTATAGGAACCCTATAGAACCCTATAGGAACCTATAGGAACCCTATAGAACCCTATAGGAACCTACAGGACACCCCCAGACCCTATAGAACCCTATAGGAGCCTATAGGGAACCCCCAGACTCTATAGGAGACCCCCAGACCCTATAAGACCCTATAGAACCCTATAGGAGACCCCCAGACCCTATAGAACTCTATAGGACACTATAGGGCACCCCCAGACCCTACAGGACACCCCCAGACCCTATAGAAACCCATCAAACACCCCCAGACCCTATAGAACCCTATCGGACCCCGTAGAGCCCTATAGAAACCTATATAGGACACCCCCAGACCTTATAGAACCCACCCCGGACCCTATAAACCCTATAGGAGCCTACAGGAGACCCCCAGACCCTATAGAACCCTATAGGAACCTATAGGAGACCCTCAGACCCTATAGGAGACCCCCAGACCCTATAGAACCCATCCTGATCTATAGAACCCTATAGGAGACCCCCAGACCTTATAGGAGACCCCAGACCCTATAGAACCCATCCTGATCCTATAGAACCCATCCTGATCCTATAGACCCCTATCGGAATCCTATACGAACCCATAGAACCCATCAGACCCTACAGAACCCTATAGGACACCCCCAGACCCTATAGAACCCACCCCGGACCCTATAAACCCTATAGGAGCCTACAGGAGACCCCCAGACCCTATAGAACCCTATAGAACCCCCATGGACCCTATGAAACCCCACAGGAACCCTACAGGAACCTATAGAGCTCCATACGAACTTACAGAACCCATTGGACCACACAGAACCCATCCCGACCCTATAAACCCCTATGGAACCCTATAGGAAACCCTACAGGGACCTATAGAGCCCTATAGAGTACACCTGGACCCTATAGAACCCATAGAACCCATCCCTATAGAACCCATAGAACCCTATAGAACCCATCCCGGTCCTACAGAACTGATAGACCCCCATAGAACCTTATAAAACCCACCTATAGAACCCCTATAGGAACCTATGGGACCCATGGGACCCTATAGAACCCATCCTGATCCTACCCACCCCTATAGGGCACTATAGGATGATATAGAACCCCCATAGGACCCTACAGACCCAACCCGGCCCTATAGACCCCTATGGCCCTATAGAGCCCTATAGGAACCCTATGGAGCCCATTGGACCTATAGAGCCCTATAGGAATCCTATGGAGCCCATTGGACCCTATAGAACTCCCCATATCCTACAGAACCCTATAGGAACCCTATAGAGCCCTATAGGAACCCTACAGAACCCTATAGGAACCCTATAGAACT